TATTAATATTAACGTTTAATTTCCATTTTTTGCAGTAAATTTGAAGACCGTATAGTGCAAACCTGCATTCTTTTCTGATAGTAGAATTAATGAAGTATGTTCAGGCATAGTCTCTATGGAGCCTATGGTTGAGGCTGAATGAGAATGATATAACATCAAAATCGGGGTATATCACACCACTGCACTGGCAGGGCGCTGGATGACCTCCCTGATCACACGCATTGAAACATAATATTACGTTCACATACATGTGATACTGACAAATTTGTTTAATTGTGGTGTGAAATTCATTGTGCTGTACTTACGTATCATCCAATTGTTTGTCTAAAGACTCCTCCATGCTTTACTAAAAGTTTTCTGTGAAAAAATAAAGCGAAACACGTCTTCGAAGTAAAATATACCAACTTCCGGTTTACAAATGACCCTCTAACTTAATAATTATAACCATTATGTGTAATGAATATATTACGCTTCTGATTCAGGAATTTAATACTTTGATTAAAAAATAATGAATGAGATGGCAGTTTTATGGAATTATCGAAGTGTTGGTTTAATGTAAAATGTGTAGCGAATTTAATTTGCGTCAATGCAAATTATCCCATAGTTAGGGAATGGGTTTAGAATTGTGGGTAACCGGGGGGGATCCCTGACCCGTGACGTCATTCTTTCTATCTTGATGTACGTCCTCCTTCGTCTCCCACGTCTTGAAACTCGTGTTGTTGTTGTTTGTTTGTACTTTTGTTTGGCAACGGACATACATAACCCATTCCCACAACCCCGAAGGTTTATTACAGCGGACGAACTGGAAAATACAGCGACTGTTTAGAACCCAGGTTTCACATAGTCGTTTCTCGTGTTCTGTTGTCGGTGAGGTCCGTGCTCCAAGAGTCATAATAATAATGGGAAAGCACGATTTTCTTACACCAAAAGCTATTGCCAATAGGATAAAGTCGAAAGGTCTTCAGAAACTACGATGGTATTGCCAGATGTGTCAGAAACAATGTCGAGACGAGGTACGTATAATCACAATTACGGTAAACAAAAGAAAAAAAAACAATACAAACTTGAACAACTTCACGGTCTTGAAAAATCAAATGGGGAACCGTCGACCTGGTTCCCCATACACGAAATAAAAAACGCACTCAATCCGTCAAGTGACCCCATAGCCCTCAAAGATTAACCAGCATAAATCTGATAACCAAATAAATGATGCAATATATAGAGAACAAAATGTAGAGAATATCATTGAACTTCGACTGAAGATTATATTTGCAATAAGATATTTAAATATGGTCAATGGTTATGCAGATGATCTAGTGTTAATATATGAAACAAAAAATGGTCTACAAAATGCACTAAATAGTTTAGAGGTTTATTGTCATAAATGGAAACTCCAGGTAAATCTGACAAAGGTTGTTATTTTCAGACGAGGAACACTAAAAAAGACAGAAAAATTCTATTACATATAATGAACAAAATATTACCTGTGTAGATATGTACAACTACCTGGGTATAAACATAAAGTCAAAAGGCTGCTACACTGAAGCCAAACAAGATTTAGCAGATAAAGCAGCCCGAGCAATGTATGCATTGAAACAGTTCCTACCACCAGAAACAAATTGTAGAACTTTCATCCATCTTTTTAAAAGGTGTATTCAACCAATATTATTGTACGGGTCTGAAATCTGGGGTCATGAAATTAAAGATTACAACAAATGAGACAAAATAATAACAGAAAATACACAATTGAATTTTTACAAACTACTACTAGGATTGAACAAATTTGTGACAAACATTGTATGCAGAGCTGAAGTAGGAGAATTCCCACTCTTCGTAGACATTCGGATCAATTTAATAAAATACTGGACTTGTATCAGTAAATTACCAGGCAATAATGTCGCAAAACAAGCATACCTTGAACAAAAGAAATCCAATTTACAATGGTATTATTCTTCAATACAAAAAATTATGAACAACATAAATTTTTCATGAGAACAACAGAATGATTTGTTAACAAAACATATTGTCGCATACGACTTATTTACCACTTCCGTGTCACTGAACCGTACTGTGTCTGGGTGGAATATTCTAGATTTTTTCGAAAATGGTTGAATAGGTAATAGAACACTGTAGGAGGCAATAGAAGGTAATGGAACATTCTAGAAATTTGTATTAAGTTCCAGACTCATTATGTATGCTGATGTAATGGTCTATTTATAGACAGTAGGGGTATATATAGGGGAGTTGTTCAGCACTGAGTTCAGATCGAAGATCTTGTTGATTTGTATTGGAGTTTAAGTATCTAGTTATTGGAGTAGTGGAGTTTTACCGCGTTATTGTACTTGATGTTTGCGGAGTATAATAATACCAGTACCAGTTAAAACCTCATCTGTTGGCTCCGTGTTCGTATTTTATCATCGCCGCCAGGGAAGTCTTTCTGTTACTGTTGCCATTTTGGTATTTGAACCATCACACCTGTACTATACCAATTACGGTAATATTATGTTGCGTGTGACACATATATAGCAAATTGGCAAAGTTGTCAAACAAAAATACATAAATTTCTGAAGAAAAAATATAACCGAAAATACAAAGCTGAGAACTTATGAAAAATTTAAAGACTCTTATAATTTTGAAAAATACTTGGATGTGTTGAATTTGAAGCAAAGAATTTCAATGACAAATTTTCGAACTAGTAATCACAATTTAGCAATAGAAAAAGGGAGGCATATGCAACCAAAAATACCTACTGAAAATAGAATTTGCAAACAATGTACACAGAATAAAATAGAAGATGAACTGCACTTTGTCATGATATGTCCACAATATAAAGTAATATGCCAACAAATCATTCAA